TCCTCCTTCCCTGCTTAAATTGACTGTTAAGTTATCATTATCCAAATTAGGTGCTCCCTTAGCCATTTTGTCTGCTTTTTCATTTCCTTGTACCCCAACATACTGGTACCCACAGAAAGTGTACTAAAAGTGTACTCCCACCTTGTATAAAATAACCAATATTTCTGTGAATATATATCTTTGACATGATTGAAAAGTCTGAAAGCTTGAAAGTGATGCCACTGAATCCACTATGGTTGCCATGGCAATTTTTAAAATAAGTTTGGTTTGACTGCCTGAAGGTAGAATCCTTGACAATGATGTATGGAGAACCATATTCACCTCAGTTGATCCTCTGATTCTGTAAGTCATAATAATGAGAAACATGATGTATAATAATGTGCATGCATGCATACATTACTAATTAGCAGATTATTATTGTGAGACACGTCAAGTCATTATTATAAGGTTTCTCATTAATATGAGAAACTAAACCATTATTTTTGCCTGTTATCTCAGTTGAGTGAAAACAATGATTCTGTTAGTCATAATAATGAGACTTTCTCATAATTATAACTTAATATTTCATATTGACAGAAATTCTCATGATGATTAAGCATATCATAATAATGAGAAACATTCTTATAATTTAGTATAATTATGTATTATGATGACTTTCCCATAATTGAGTTGTTGTTTTTAGATTTAGAAAAAATAAATGACTTATGATTTACGAGTATAATCTCATAATGACAAACTTTCTCATAATGACTTCACGTCTCATAATAAGAAACTAAGTCATTACGAGAAAGTTTCTCATTATGACTTACAGAATCTTATTTTTTTAACCCTTTGATGCACAACATGGGTCTAAAGTGACCTGACTGCTGAGCCAAGCATGAAATAACAAAGGAAATGAATATGGGTCATTTTAGACCAATGTTGTGCATTAGAAGGGGTTTTCAAAGCTTGTGCATCAAAGGGTTAAAACTCAACTCTGGGCAGAAAGGGGCAAGGCTTGAGCATTGTTAACACATGCATAAACTTCCTATATTTATGTTCCTATATCAATAAATACAAGATTTGGAAGTTGAACAAACTTTTTAAAAACTGGCTCACAGAAACAACAACAAAAAACAGAATTCTCAACACTGTTAAACCATGATTCATTTATTGCAAAAATGACTATAAAAGACAAATCAAGTTTAAAACTTCAAACCTGAACATCTTACATTTCAGTGGGGTGGTAAAATATTCTGTAAAGGTCTGTAAAATTCTTAAATCTATTTCTTTTTATTAGTTTTCTTTGAGATTAATCTTGTCCTAGCTAGTATGTACATCCTGTTATTTTGTTGACAATGATGACATTCATTCACCAGTTACTTACAGGCTAAAGATTGTGACATTTTTTCCCCAACTCTTTCTCTGTAACCATAACCAAATAGCTTAGATGACTTATTGTAAGCTTACATTTCTGACTTCTCTATCTCAACCCACTCCATATGATGTAGGTTTTGATGAAACAATTTGTTTGAAAACACTTAAAGGTTGGCCATGATGCACAATAGCCAGTGTCCATACTGACTCAAGAGTGGTTTTCACACAGTCTTTCTCATAATTTCTTTCATTCGTCTCTTCTTAGCACTGCCAAAGATTAGCGCATTTCCTGCAGGAATAACACAAAGATAATGTCTGGCTTTCCTCATATTTATCCTATTATTCAAGCACCGTAAAAGTAGTTGAACAGAAAAGACTGTACATATATGCGCATATATAAAATCAGATGACAAATTATAATGTCAACATTTACCATGTTTCATCCGAAGGTGCTTTAGAAGAGCCGACGTTGTGTATTCTTTGCGACCACGAGATATGACGGCCCTACACATAAGGCACACTGCTTTGCTACAGTCTCCATCTTTTAGAGAGAAATACTTCCATACAGGGCTTGATTTGGCTATTGTCCTCTTTTGCATTTCACAGCATTTACTGCTACAGTAGGCCCTGTTTGTACATAATATGTTGTGATATGAAACGTGATTGGCATCATGAGATGAACTGCTATGCTGAGATACTGTGGCAGGAGCTTCGCTGTTAGCGCATATTGGCTGGTTTAGATGCTGTGCTCTGTAGATGTCTGAAGCCCCTAAAGGCAAATCTGGACTGTGTGGCGACCAGCTCTGATATGCATCTTCAGTGCTTCCCATTGCATCGCCTGAACACAAGCTGGAGTTCATGAATTCAACTTTGATTTTAGATGGGAAATGACAGTTTGTAATTTCATCCTCAATAGGATTTGTGTTGGCGTTATCGGCACACACGTGTGAGCCTTCGTTATTGATGCTGGCTTTTGATGGCAAAGCTACAGACTCCCTGTAAGCATCGACAGAGTACTCAGGCTTTTCCGGTTTTATGAAGGGATGTTGTTCACCAAGCCTCTGGCTTTGGTCCTCCTGGATCTCTTCAAAGGGTTCTGGCTCCTCATTCTGGCTGCAGATCCATCCGGGCTGCCCCGGGGAGATGGGCTGATAAGACTGCACAGGAGCTGAAAAAACAACAACATAATAACATTTACTTCATGCAGATAAAAAGAAACTGTTGAACTGAAAATCCACATGAATCTGTAATGTGCACTACAGCTACAATATGAATATTGAACATCTTTGATGACATTAGACTTAAAGATGTACAGATTTTGTTCCTATGTTGATTTATTTATTAAAACAGAAAGCTGGAACAGAATATATTAGAAGGCTTCTCCTCACTTTTTTAAGAACCAGTCTTAGTAGTGATGAAATGGAGGTAGCGACAGATCTTTTCTTCCACATTGTGACGTACATTCGAGTGAAATTAATTATCGAAAAAGAAAAATTCTAAGGCATGGACTGAATTCTAGTCATTGGTTGTTGATTGGATTTTGAGACATAGGCATTGTGCTCAATAATGCAAGCCAGGTGAATGTCATGCATAAGTCTCCAGAGAAAAGTATTTTCACCGGAAGACTGATTTATAATATCCTGATTAAATATTAAGTCGTCAGAAGAAAAAAAAAAATATCATATGGATTAATGGCTCATAAAACCAATAACATGCAAACAGAATATAGATGGGGTCGATTTTCATTTCATGTCGAGTTTAACTTATGTCACAGCAGTGAACCATCATTTGCTACTAGTTATTGTTGTGAAATGTATATTCTGAAGCATCTGATTGGACACAAATTGGACACGCCCACGAGTGCAGGATGAGTCCGTTTCTGGTCCGTTTTCCAATTTCGAAAGAATTTAATAGTATTTCGGCAAATATTTAAGAGTACACTAGATAAAACTGTATTACACAGGATTAAAAGCAAAAACATCATTTTTATTTAATGGACTGCTTGACTCTTATAATGTGCATTTTTTTCATAATAGTATTAAGGTCAGTGTTGATTCACACATCCTCGAATACCATGTAATCAAAAATAGATACATTTATGAATTACCTCGTGGTCATGAATCAAACATGGACTCGGGACCACAACCAAAACACGCGGACAAATGAAAACATTTGATGTAAAAAATATATAGATCAAGTCAAAATTTTATGCCCTGTTCTAAACATGACCGAAACATTCACCATATTTTCGTCTTACCGGCATTTGTTTCTTCGCTGAAGCACCCAGAGTCTCGCAACATTTCTTTCAATCGCTTGTTTTCGCTCCGGATTCGCTCCGTTTCCTCTTCATACTCCCGAACCGTTCTGCCGACTGTGAAGATGATCTCCTTCACAGCAGCCATCAAGCGCTCGGTCATGAAAGTGTTCAGACGATCCAGTTTAGTCATTGTTCAACTTTATTTCAGGTCGCTGAATTTAAACGATAAAGACAGACCATACAGGTACCGATAACAACACAGACGAGCGCGTGAAAGTTCCCCCTTTAAAATCAAACCCCCAGCACATTAGGTTGCTGTGCTAGCTGAAGTGACTCTAGCACCCTTCACAGGACAGGAGGAGACAGTACAGCTTTTACTGTAAAGCCTTTGGCCAAATAACTTCGTCATTCATATGAGCTATGTTCAGTCATAGCTTCACACTCATGCACAGCCCTTTTAATGATAAACAGAGAATCTAATAAACATACTTTTATGAGATGTCATAGTGGCTTACATGAGATTGGAGCTAGACATCATCTTTATCGAAAACACTCTCATCTCTTGGTACCTGGAATAAAAACAAAAAACCTTAAACAAGAAAACCAGTTCTCTGTGAAGAGATATTACCTGACAAGAGATATTACTTATTGGACCAAAAAAAAAAAAAAACAGTACACAGAATCTCTTGGATTACAGTTTGCAACTAGACGGATGTACTGTAACATCCTCTACAGTCAAAAATCTGGATGTTATATTAGACAGCAACTTGTCTTTTGTGCTTTGCAACGATTTATATCGTGAAAAGCACTATACGAATAAACTTGAATTGAATTCTCTGTGGGGCAATCGTTCAGTTGAATCACAATGCATTGATGAATAAAAATGGTGTAAAAATTATATTTAAATAATTTAGCTTTTCAAGTGAAAGTATGGATACTGAGCAAAAAGTCAAATTATGTAGCCAAATGCATTAGAAAAAAAAAGTTGTAACAAATGATATCAGGAGATTGTGTCATTAAGTTACAACATTCATAAACCTGCTTTATTACTCAAGACGTTTTACTGAAACCAGTATCCTGAAACTTGTTACAAGCAATTAAAACATCACATTTAGCAGTTGCTGATTTCATAGTTGTTTATACTAAATGATCAAGTGACAGCAAAGACATGTATAATGATTTTAGATTTGTGTATATATTATTTTTACATTAAGTTATATTTCAAATACTATTCTTTTGAACTTTCTATTCATCAATGAATCTTAAAAAAATGTCTCATGATTTACACAAAAACATTAAGCAGCACAACTCTTTTCATCACTGATGGTAAGTTTCATGTGCACCAAATCATCATATTAGAATAATTTCTGAAGGTTCATGGGACACTGAAGACTGGAGTAATAGAGTAAATGTCTAGTCTCAACTGTAACTGGGTAACTGAAAACTGCCTTAAGTCACATATCAGATACCAAAAAAAGACCAATATACCCTTAGATTCCTCTACCTTTTTTATTCTCAATCTGAAGTTAATTAATAAACATATGCTATGATCTGTACAATACAGCAGGCTGAAATTAACCAATCCATAAAAGTATTGAACCCATCAGATTGAGACAACATTGTAAAACATATTTACATAAAAAAAAACATAACACTAAGATGCAAACAATAACTTCTAGCAATCCGTGTCATAGTCTTTGACTGTACTGTGTTCTGCTTTTTCCCAATAGAACTCTCACCTCTGTGTCTGAAACAAAAACATCTTCAGTCAAAAAAAGTGGAAAAGAAATGGACAAGAAATGCTTGTTGTGTATTTTGTTGCTTTTTAGGTTTGCATGACAAGCAGTAACTTTTTACCTTGCCTAGTAACAGAATTTGGTAAATCCTCAAGACTCTTTGTTGACGGCTGTCAATAAAACAAGAATGTTAATTCCATCCTCTTATATCAGAACAAAGTATTATTGAGGCAAAAACTCTCTTTACCTCTATACTAGCTTCATCCCTTACTGACGACTCTTCATCTTTAATTGATCTCTTTGCTCTTTTCAGTTTTTCCTGGTCTGGTGTGTCCCCTTGAAGACAACAGAAACCCCTTTAACAGTTCATGCAAAGCTCTGATTTTGATGAATTACATAAAAGTAAAAAATTCAGTATTAAGCAACCTAAACAAATGTAATACATACATATGTAAACAACTTAAGTGGAATAACCTCACCATGGCAAGCAAATGTGTGCTTCAGAAGTCGATACTTCTGGATGAAGCCCATATTACACTGATGGCACCAGAATGGCCTCTCACCTGTGTGGAAATGAAAAAAAAAAAATGTGAACGAGCATAAATAATGATTCTGGCCCTTGGCGCTGTGACTACTTTGCTTATATGTGCAATATGTGCGTATTAAAAATGGGTTTTGCACACACTGACCCGTGTGAGTGTATTCATGTCTGCGCAGCGTGTATGGACTGCCAAAAGTTGCCTTACAGTGCTGGCAGACATGTTGTTTTGAGTTGGACATCTCTCCTTCACCCAGCAAGTCATCATCCATGAGCAGTGACTATACAAATGAGGAGAAAACAACACCAGTTTATCCTATGTTCATTGAAAATACTGGCTATATACTGGATACTGGAACTTCGCAGTTCTGCTCACGTGTCAACATTCCCTGTATTAGACAGAGTACAAAGTTCAAAATGTGTAATTTAACAAAGATTTTCACCTGATTATGGACACGTGAGCGCCTCTTCCTCCTCCTCTTCATCCCTGTTGCATACGTTTGGACTTTCACGCTACTCTTGGGTGTGTCATTACACACAGTTTGGGCATTTTGAGGTGGACTGAAATCATCACATGGATCATCATTTCTGAGAACGTCGTATTCTGGGTGAGGACCGATGGAGCTTGTGTCTGATGTTAGTCTCATAGCCCTTTCTTGATCAACATCACACTTTGGGAAAGTTACTCCTTCATTCTTATAGTCTGTTGATTCTTGTCCAGTGCTTGGATTGGGAGAATTACCTGACTTCAATTCGTAACCTACTTCATTTTCAGGAGAACGTCTGAATTGTAAAATGGCTCCCTCTGCCTGTCTATTGTTTCGAAACTCCTCATTTGGACTTGAGATGTCTGTTTGTTCATAGCAGCTGAAATCTGGAAGGGAAGAACTTCCTTGTTCATTTTTAAAATTGGCTTCATAGAGGGTATTTAGGCAATGAAAACCTGATGGTTCTATATTGGCATCAATCTCTTCTGGACTAGAGGGGGAAATAAGTGTAGGGTTTGGAGGAATGGGCCCAGCATTAGGAAGCATTTCACCACAGCTAGCCTCAGCACTGAGAGTAGATTTGCCCTTACACTGCTCTAAATGTGAAGCAAAAGACTTCTTGTTAAATAACTCTAAACAGTAGATGCAATAAACTCTATCATCAAATGAACAACCCGATGCAAACGTCCCAAATGGTTTTGAATCTTGTTTACTACTTTGAACCACATTTGTGTTGTGTAGAATATTTCCCCTAGTTTGTAGAAGGTTCAAAAGTTGTTTCCTTTCTTGTGAGCTCTTGTCAAAAGTGAGAGCTTTTGCCACCTCTGGTTCATTAGGATGAACTGACTGAAGATGATCCATCATTCTATGATGTGGCTGCTTGCAGTAACAGCAGTGATGTATCTTGAATACGCTGGAGTTGTCATCAGTGGAACTGGTTTGGCATTCAGGATCCTGCAAAGAAGGAATAATAACAAATAATAAATGCATCCAAATTTTAAAAGAGCATAATAAATTAAATAATCAAATAAAATAATAATTCAAAATTCATTGTATGGTCAGTTTTTGCATATTAGCACTAAAAGATTGGCACTTTTCATTATGCATAATACTACAGCAGAATTCAATCAAAAGTAAGCACTAAAAGCTTGCATCACAAAAAAAAAAACACTTAAAAAATTAACAACCTGAGAATGAGAACTTGGACAACGTTTCTTTGACTCCTCTTTCAGACAGCTGATCTGGTAGACTCTTTTTCTCTTCTGCTCGCTTGTCACCGATATGGCTTGAGTCATGTTGAACTTCAACAGCACAATCATTGCTATTCTCATCAGTGATCTTCTCAGGGTCTTCTTGAAGATCACACTCTTGGAATTTAAGGTACGACACGTGTCTTACGCCTCCGGATTTGATTTCACGAATAGAAGGAATTGAGTTGAATTCTAGATCAGCTGTTGGCTGATTCCCACTCCTGCCAGCATCTGGATTTTCAATACTTTCAGGCTGCTGACACTGTGTTTGTTCAGTGTTACAGCTATTAGGATCTGGAGTGTGACTTTCAGTTTCTGGATGCACATCAGAGGCCATGAAGATGTTCCTTTCTACATCTGAATCTTGGGTTTGCTCTGTTTCATTAGTGATCAAATACATATCATCAAACACAGCTAGTACATTTCGATTCTGAATTGCATTCTGGATAAGTGTTTAAGGAAGCAGGACTTGAAGGAACCTTTTGTTTTGAAGAGAGCTGAAGGTTGTCACAACACCCAGTATCACAAGAAGAATAACCATCAGGTTCTAGATCACAAGACACTTCTGGATCTGAAGAAAATGGTTGGCTCACAAGTCGGGGATGATTTGTTTGTTTTATAAGGGACTGCTGAAGAACACTGCAACCAGAGTTTGAAATAGGAAGGGTTGGAACTGTAGATTCTATGACTTGTGTTGTTTAACGGGAATCTAGTATGGGTGGTTCTAGTATCTCCACATCAGGGTTCCGTGATGTATTAAAAGAAGATTCCAAATGAGCAGGATTTATTGCGGAACCCTGGCAAAAATCAAGAACAGATGGCTTTAATAATTGTGCACCAAGATCAACTTGAGCTATGCTGCTGTCAGTGTTAGAAACAGTAGGCACCTCCACTTCTGGATTATACTGTATGTTTTCAGAGCAGCACACTGGCAAGAGTCAAGATTAAGAGGGCTTAAGGGTTTCGGATCACATATCTTCTGTGCTGGGCTATCACTAGTGTATAGCATTTGGGGACGATCTGACACCAAAGTATGGTTCTCTTTCGCCTCATATATCTTAGTTTCTGGAAATGGGCAATTGCCTAAATCTGAGAGAACTGATAAAGGAGCATTAGTTGGCTCTAAAGGTCTGGACATGCTGATAGTGTCTGGAGCCAGGTTTCCCAATTCTGCATCAAAAGTTTCCTGAGTTTTACTGGATGCAGCTGGATTCTTGTTGTGCTTACATATAAGAGCATGCTCCTGAAATTTGTTCCATCAATAAGACTCCTGGCAAAAAATGCAGTGAACAATGTTTTCATCACAATCCATTTTAGAATCTCTAGGTTGGTTGAAGTTCTTTTTAATAGCAAAACTGCTCAATAACTGTTTCCTTTCTTTACAGTCTTTGCCAAGACTTAAAGCTTTTACCACTTCAGGTTCTCTTACATGATCACACTTTAGGTGCAGTTCTATCTTTCTACATGCCTTCCCACAAAACCGACAATATAGCGCTTGCATTACTTTTTTTTGTTCTCCACTGCTCACTGCAGTCTTGCATCTACCGTCAGAGGTTTGATGGGATGTGAGAAAGTCTGAGGGCATTTCGAATTCTTCAGAACTTTTCACAAATAACTCATTGGTTTTCACATTTTGTACAGAAGGTTCATTCATCCCTGAGATATCAGAGTTGTCAGTTGAAGCATCCAGATTAGATTCTGACATCTGACATAAAAAAAAATTCAAAAGAAAACAGTATAATTACATATAAATTGAGATTTCTCTGTTCAAGTATTTACATATCTCTTTACATTTCCACAGGCTGATTAAGAACAGATTTACTTTTGAGTCCGTATTTTACTTTTCAATCTGCTACTATTGCATACCTGGTTGTTCAGACCCAGTTACTTATTTTTTCTCTCACCGCTACTGACAGTCTCCATGTCTAGCAGTTTCTTGTCAACATTAACATCCGACAGAGATTCTTGACCAGCAAATACCATATCAGATGTTTGACATGACATTCTCTCCTTTGAACTCATGGGCCTGTCCTCTGTTTGTCTGATGGCAGTAAAGGCCATCTGGTCTCTGACTGGGTCATTTGAGATACTCTGATCATCAGTATGCTGTGAGGCACCATCAATAGATTTGGTAGATTCAGTTGCATCTGGAGCTGGAAAGTTTAAATTTTGAATGCTAGGAACAGAGGCAGTTTTCTTTTTATCTAAACCTTTGGAGGGACTCAACACATCTTCATCAACATCATCTTCAACATCTGAGAGGACAACACAAACTAATTTTGAGTCAGCGTTCTTCTGCATGGTGCCGGAACTAGTTTCCTTGAACAAAGATTGTAAAATGCCACTCTGTGGTATTACGGTTAATTTCATAGCAGAAATGTTCTTACAATCACACTTCCAATCACACTTTGTTCTTCCACATTCAGACAGAGCATTTTCAGCAGCAGTTCTTTCATTTGATTGCTCTAGTTCATCATCTATTACTATAAGTGATACCTGGTCTCTGGCTGTGTTTTCTGAAACACCAGGAAAACTAACGTTGCAGTCGCCTTTTTGTTGACTCTTTATGTTATTTCCCTCAGAAGATTCAAAGGCCAGTGAGCCGCCAATGTTGTCATGCTCTACTTCCGAATCACGCTGTGGAGATCCAACCTTCACACAGACTATTTCTGTCTCAGTGTAGCATATTTCAGGCTTGTTTTGGATGCCATGACCAGAGAACTCCACTGGCAATGTGCAAAGATTGGAATCCACAATTTTATCTTCCACAGCATCCACCATTTCATCATCAACCCGTACTGAGGTTTGTTCATGATCAAAGCCACTACTTTTTTCAGAGCATCCTGATTTTAAGTCAGCTACCCCATGCACTGAGCTCCAGTACTTGCATGAAGTCATAATTGGTTGTAGAACAATCCTGGGCTGCATATTGAAGTGGCTCATGATGTCACTGACCAGCTTGGTTTTGGTTCTTTGGTTACTCTTGTAAGAGGTGGTAGGCTGCTCAATAGCTGTACTGCTTGCGAGAGCTCCAGACACTGCATGGGTTGCATTGCTGTTCAGATGTGCAGATTCTTCAGACTCATCACTTTTGTCCCCCGAAGGCTGCATTGGAGGAAAGCGACAATCAACCATTCTTATAAACAACAGTCTTTAGGGTCAACACGACCTAGGATTCATTGCACAAACAATTCTTCTTTTTTCCCGAAGATATGAAACTGGATGAAACTAGCAGTCAAAATGATTAATCACATAGTCTTTCCTACCTCCTGATTATGGATTTTCTGGAGTTGGCCCCTTTTCAGGTCACCATAAAAACGTTTCTTGCGCTGCCGATAGGCGTACGGTTTCTCTCCACAGTGAATCTGCATATGCATCAACAGCCGCATTTCCCAAGCAAAAACTTTGCCACAAAATGGGCAGGGTAGTGGCCCTTGACCTCTGGTTCTGCTTTTCCGTAACAAGTCTTTGTTTGGGGATCCACGAGGTGTCTGCTGAAGGGGTACGAAAAAATCATTTTAATACACATTTGTGCATGAGGTAATCTATAAAATGAGGGCCTTTAACAAAAATGATTTATACAAGTTAAGATTTTAGGTGTAAAATACAATACCTTGCAATGTATTATCTCAATCTAAATTGATAGAATACAAGTTGGAACATAATAATGCTTTCAGAAAGGCATTACTAACCTTGCAGATTCCTATATTAGAATTTACAAAATCAATATACAAATACACATTCTTCAGTAAACAAAAGTAAACACATTGAAGTTTTGTTTTAAAGAATCTAGTAAATTTGGTATCAGTTATTATTAAAGTTATCATTTACACTTCAATGTGAAAATCAAAAGGCACCCATTTAATAGACTAACCCACGTCATTTTTGCTATTAGTCCACGTACAAGTTTATTGCCGTTTCCTTGTTTTCTATGCCTCTTATTGGTTTCTGATTGTTTGTCTTAGCATCAATAGCTCGTTCATGATGGTCACGCATGTGCATCCTTAACCAATTCTTACAGCCATAGACTTTAGCAGAAATTGTGCAGATACAGGAGCCACGTTTCCTTAATTTTCTTAATTCTGGTTCTATTGATTGCGAAAGATTTTCAAGATCCTTATCGTTAAACAAATCATGCTTATCTGTTTTTGTGATTTAAAACTATGAAATGTGAAGGTAGATTCGGATCATTCTTCAGGTTTTTGTAAAGAACACATACCGTAGTATTTGGGTTGTGATTACTTGTTGACATCTCATCATCAAGCCTCTTTTTTTCCTCCCATTTCCTTTTTTCTTGTTCCTTAAGCTCCATTTCCATTTTAGCTTGCTCTCGTCTCCTTTTCTTTTCATCATGTAACCTACGTCCTATATGTTTCCTTGAATGCTTCTTTAGCTTCTTCTCCAGAGCAAAGCCTTTGCCACATGTTTTGCATGGAAACATCCTCTTCAGATATTTAGTGCTAGATGTTCCACAGTCAGAGCCTGAGATGTCCTTTGATTGCTCAGAAGTGCTCTCTGACTCATCTATGGCCATTTTAGGATGATCTGCACTTTGTTGTGCCTCATCTGTGCCCGTTTTTGTAAGATCTGCACTTTCTTCAGCCTCATCTGTGCCCAATATAGGAAGATCTGTACTTTCTTCATCTTCATCTTTTGTGAATGTAGGCACATCAACAACCAGGATGGACTCATCACTTGTTTGACGTTGTTTATCCTTGACCTTTCTTAATCCTTTAGTTTTCTGGCTATTCAGTCTCATCTTCTTAGTGACTTCCCGTTTCTGAGTTTTGCGCTTATGTAATCGCTTATCAATCAATAAAAAAAGGAATGTGGGTTATTATACAGAAATAAAAGTTCAAAAATGATCAGTGTCTCAGCAAAGTATATATTAAAGGGGTCATCGGACGCCCATTTTCCACAGGTTATGATTAATATGATACTTAAGGGTCTTAATGAAAAGTCTATAACATACTTTGGTTAAAATTTCTCAATGGTAGTGGAAAACAACACTTTTTACTTTTTTAAAAACAGCTCTGTTCACTACGACCCGTTTCGGTGCATGTCCCTTTAAATGCTAATGAGCTCTGCTCGCTGCACCCCTCTCTCCCGTGGGGTGACGAGCCATTCTCTGAGACTGTTAACTTTAGCCGCATTTAGCCACAGAACTTGCTAACTAGCGCATTATTAGGAAAGGTGATTTGCAAAGATTCATAAAAACTTATACTCACTTCTTCTGTAGGTAAAGCTAGATCACGAATGATTCGCGCGAACATAAACGCATTTAGGTAGATCGGGGGGTGCATTCCCTTCAAAAACAAACGTAAACCTCTGCGTCTTCAGTGACTCAGATGTCAGGAGTAAATGACGACTGCTATGTTCATTATTACATCCAACAAAAAAAAGACCTCAATCGCTTAGGAGCCATTCTTGTCTACAACCGCTCCGGCGTCGAAACAATGAAACAGCTCACTCAGGGCGGGTCTGTGATAAAACACCAGTGTCAATCAACAATCATGGGAGGGGCCTGTCTGTTTGACATCACACAGCCAAGAATCTGAGAATGGCTTGATCTGAGAAAGGGAGGGGTTATGATTTTTGGGGATTTAAAAAAAAAAAAACACTGGGTGGATTTTTATCATTACAGACTTTTAGATTTTTATCATTATATACATCATTATTGTGTACACACACTGCCAAGACTCATTTCAGTTCAAACACCATGTAAAAGTGAATTTTGCATGCGATGACCCCTTTAATATCTGCATATTCAGTTACAAATCTGAAAACTAACCTTGGTGACAAGCTGTTGTGACCTTGTACGGCCACTGCCATACACGTTAAAGTAATCACTCCTTTTCTTTACTTCCCCATGCTGAGTGCGAATGTGTGGCCCCAGCCATCCTTCACGAGCAAACACTTTATCACAATGCGGGCAGGCATATGTTTTCTTTACCTTCTTCACATTCTGTACTTCTGTAGTTTTAGGCACTGCCTCCACCGTTTCTTTAGTCAGCTACGAGGAATACAAATATCCAAACTTAATAGAAACACATTAATGGGAATGATCATACATCCAGATCAACTTTATACAATGTGTGAGCAGGTACCTCAGTCTTGATCGGCAGAGTTTTGCGTAATAAAGCCCTTTTGGTCTTATGGGACTTCATGTGGACACGCAACCGACTTGCATGAAAGAAGACTTTGTCACAGTCTGGACAATGGAACTCACTTTTGTCAGCAACTTTGGCCTTCTTCTCCACATCATTTTTTCTTTGCCTCTGAAAGACATGCAAGTCCATTTAACAATGAGAGAAGCATGGAAAGACATATGCAGTGAGCTCCAAATGTATAAGGCCTTGGATATGAAAATGGATGAATAATGTCTGTATTTTTTTAATAGTCATTCCAGGTAAACAGCATATTTAAACACTGACTCCAACAGTGAACTTGAAAGTGGCAAATTCAGTGCACTGATACTGTAGGACAATGAGTGGCATTTCAAATCTACAGTACATTTTTCCCAAGATGTCATGGCATTACAAAAATGTAAAATATATATGACTATATTAAAGTAAACCAGCCACAGAAAAGACTCAAATTCATTAATTAATTTCAAACCAATTTTAATCAAACAACTGCATTAGAATTGCACTGAATATATACACAACTGGTTTATATATATAAAAAAAAAAAAAATCCAACACTTTGTGATTTTCTAATTTGTATACACATATATAAACATTGTGTCCAAATTGTTTACATATTTACAAAGTTCCATTGGATGGTTCTTCGGGTATCAAAACCTGTTTTATTTCACCACCTCCCTCTACAATGCGTTCTTCTGGCTCAAAACGCTCTAATTTAATTGGAGTTGTGTCCAAAGTGTTGATCAGCATATTAACTGGTTGGCTGAACCCTTTTGCCTCTAAATAGGCACGTCGATGGTTTATTCTAAGATGAGACCATAAATTAGAGGTGTTCTTCCGAGCAGCCTTGCTGGAGCCCTGGCTAACTCTGGCTGAACATGCATGGCAGAAGACTTCACCATATGCATCTTTTGAAAAGTAGTCCCAAACTTTGCTAAAACAGCGGTTTGAAACAAATTCCACCTGTGAAGCAATAAGAAAAATATATGCATAAGCTTTGTGTCACACTTTAGTGATACTTATTTGCATTCAAGATATTTTAAAATATTTTAAAACACTGAATGCATTCAGATAATTGTAGGTAAGGCTTCAACTGAAATGCAGTGATGAAAGCAGGCCTAGAAAATTAACTTCAACTAAGCAAACAGTTAATAATAACTGATTTAATATGAACAAGAATTTAAGTCAAATGATACGACATTTTCTTCAGCTCACTGGTGATACTGGTCTTATAATTATTTAAATGCAGGGTTTTCAACCATGGGTCCCAGAAAACATTTAATATTCTTTAAAATTTCTTAACCGTTTTCGAACAAATTACCTTTTAAGAATGACAATATTGTAATAATGTTATATGATATAAAAATTAAGTGACTGTAACATGTTATGATAAAAATCTAGCTTTTTTTATACTAGAGGTACTTGGGTTGGCTGAGAGAGATCTCTGAGTCCAAAAAGGTTGAAAAGCCCTTATTTAAAATCTCTAAAATAGCATGGATTGGTTAATGAAAAAACAAACACCAGCTGAATAAACTGCCATATATTGCAACTACAATAAACAGTGCGTCGGTCAAATCTACAGCTCTCAATCAGAGTTTTCAGATAAATTTAATAATTGATCTACCTTCCCTATCTGTCTATTTCTATAGACTGCACACAGGATACAGTTCATACTGACAAATCCATTTCAGTTAAATAATTTTTAAAAAATAATTTAGCTTTTCTTTGTTTTCATGCAATAGACTACTAGAATGTAGTAGCAGTTGATAAAATGCTGATTATAGTACATTATCTTTATTCAGCTTTAGATAAACCTATAATCTACTCAACTAGCTGTTACAAAAACACATTATCTGACAAAAAATGATCTGAGATTACCTAGCTACAGCTGGTAATCTGAGTTATGTTATGCTCATAGGCTGCATTCACCTATTTTTTTTAACTAGTGGTGCAACCCCACATCAAATAACATCTCTGGAAACGGTAGATGCAGATTTTTTTTTTTTTGAATGAACAGCATGTGTTTCAAGCCACATATCAGCTCTTGTTCTCATAACTCTCATTTTTGGCCTCAGACTCACCGTTAAAACAGCATCCGCTTCAGTGGTTGCTTTCTTGTTCTCTTCGTAGATTGGTTGTAGCTGTATGAGTGTGTTTAGTTCATTCTAAGATACATGCTTACTATCTTAGGATTCGATGAACTACTATACACAGAGGTCCTTATTTATATACTTCGGTGGCAAAACCAATGAATCAGCCTGTATTTGCATATTTTGAGATTACAACCATCAACCACTAACCATAAAGTGTTTATCTCCCCCTAAATTCTACTCATCACTTTGTCAAAGGATAGCAAACAACTTCTGTTTTTTCTTTTCTTTTTCTTTTTTTAAGTGTATTTTGAGATTTCAGAAAGTTTGTGTACATTTGCTATTATTGAATAGCATATTGAATACTTTCTAGATATCGGTATCAGCCGTTGAAAACCCCATATTGGTCAACCACTACTTCAAAATGTGCACTATGCAATATATTTTTTTGACTCTTTCTTAATACTTTATTGACTCTTATTGCATCAAACAACATTATGTGTCGATGCACATCACACCAAATATTCAGAATAGTGGTTGATTTATATAGCTTTTTTTTTTTTTGACTGGTTAATTTTCTCCCCATTCTATCCGTTTACATCCTTAAGAGGGATTTATGTGTGAAGGAAAGAAAATCTCTATTTATGCATATCTACACCCACTATTTATGACACTAGAGAACGTGCAGTACCTTGGGTAATTTCCTGTTCGCATCCACTATCTCCTGAGTTCCTGACTGTGATTGGGTGGGCAGGTTGACAAGAGCTGTGACTGTGTGGGTCTTCATGTGCAAGGCTAACTGACAGGGCCGAGCGAACACCCGATGAGGGCAATGAGGGCACCGACACAGCTGGTTTACAACTCTTTTTTTTTCACGCCGATTCCGCACAGGGGTGGTAATTCTCTTTTCTGGTTCTTTATCACTGCTGCTGTGGTCACTCTCAGGCTCTTCTTCATGGCCTCGTGCAGTAGTTTCAGGTGATGCACTACTCCTGTTCGTCTGCTCAGAGCCATCTGACAGATCGTCCACAATTTCTCTTGACAGCTGCATGTCAGAAAATAACACAAGCTATTATAATATTGTTTGTTAAAACGTCCCCATTTTACATTTATAAAAGTTCATTAGTTTTCTGTATAGTAAGATATTTTATAATAATACGTTAAATTAAATACGATATTCAAATTCTATACTATTTTGTCTAAATAAATTCAAAATATAACACTAAAAACTAAAATGAACTACATAATCATACACAAATAATCGTGAAAAATATATACATTTTTATATCTGCTAAAATTACATTTAACAGTGTTAATTATCAAAAACGTTTGAGTGTTAGATGACTGAAAGGTAATCAATCGAATTAGTATATTAAATGTGAAAAAGTTAAAGGTGGGTTTGATTTTTAATACCAGAATGCATTCACAACAATAAGACAATGTGCATTAAAAAGTAAAAATGGGTCAGTTTTGATGTCATGTCGACTTTAATCGTGCTGCTGTTTACCTGAGAGAGCCTGTGCAGCTTCCTCTTTTTCTTATTGTCACCGTAGAAGCACGCCTTGCGCCGGCGGTACGCATAAGGCCTCTCGGTGGAATGAATGCGCATATGAACCATCAGCCTCTGTTTACTTGCAAAGACTTTACCACAGTCTGGACAGGCAAAGGACATCCTCTGCCTTCTGTTCTGTCCTCTCCAGTGCCGGACCCTGCTGGGACCTGAAGTTGGATCAAAGTCCAGAGGGGCCATGTAACTTTGGGCAGAGTCCCAGGTCATGCTGTCCACCAGGCCATAGGCAATACCAGCGCCTGTCCCGGCATTGTCAGGTCCCTGATCAATGCTTTGAGGTAATGTGGTGGCGCTGCACAGGGGGAGATCAGTCGACTCTGTTTTGATCACAAGAACTTCTGATTCAGGTCCAAATACAAAGTTGACAGCACCCTCATCTTGCCGGGATGGATTGGCCTCCTCCGTTGTGGAAAGAGTAAAAGGTTCTGATGGGCCTAAGAATATTAAAAAAACAAATACAAGTGCAACAGTTTGATGAGATAAAGTGTGATTTCTGTTTATACATAACTGAGTATCTGCAGGTAAAATGTGCTGGTTTAAACCAAAAGGAAATGCAAGTTAATGGTCTGTTGTGTCGTATAGTGCGTTTATGCGACTGGAAATCTTTCTTCTTGTGGACTCTAGAGGGGGCAGCTGTAATCTGCGTGCCCCCTGGACGTTTTGGAGCGAAAACGTCGGACAGACAATTCACAGATCAGTGTTTACTTCGGCCTAATGCAGTTGCTAGTATAGTTCAGATAACAAATATTTATAACTTCCTTTATAAGGAAGAGCAAAGGCTGAATGCACGCGGATGATCTCACCAAAACAAAGTCCGCGGCCGTGCATAGAATGTAGAACAAAACTTTGTAGCAACCAAATAAATGTTTCAAGAAAACTCCCCTCATGGCTATTACCAAGTCGTGCTATCTGTCCTGCGCAGTATTTTGCATTAAAAACTACATTACTGTCGGTCTGTCGTGCTACCTGGCCAGTCGGCTCGGTTTGCCCCCTCCATCCACCGGAGCCTCCGTCTCAGAACCTCGTTTTCTTTCCGTGCTCGGATCGTCTCTTCCTCGTACTCCAGCACCGTACCGCCGACCATCTCCATGATCTGCTCCACCGCCGCCATCAGACGCTCGTTCAGCGCGCGGTGCAGGAGCTGCAGCTTGGTCATTTTTTTCCAGCAGTTAAATTCAGCAGCAAACACAAACCACCGAAAGAGCTTGCTACTCCCGTTGCATGAACAGTTGCCTTTTTCCTCCAAATTTCGAAGGCAGCCGGAAACTGCTGACTGCCACCTACCGCACTGGAGAAACGCTACAGTGCAGCTGCAGAGCAAACTGAGAGGAAGTCAAAACAAAATGGTAGCAAAAGTTGTTTATATACAAGGATAAACGCGGTTTTCAAAGTATTCAAGTAAAAATAAGATTACAACAAGTCGCTTTGGGAAGAGATCAGGCAACCACAACAGTAGCCTACTCTACTCGAGCATTTTTTTTCTTTCGCGCGGTAACAAATAAATTATTTTCATTACGTATTTTACATTTCTTTCTTTTTTTCTACAAACATTTACATATCACAAAAAAATAGTGTTTTGTGTAAAGTAGTTTATATAACTGAGCTAGCTGTAAACTCCTCAGATTACCTTTACATTGAATAATTGATCAGACATTTAAAATTCATCAAAATTTCATTTTTTTTTTCTTTTTGATAATATTCCTTGCAAGTATGCACAGCTCCTGCTAAAATGCGTAGAGTATACAATATAAAAGTCTTGTGGGGACCCATCATCACAGGGCCCAAGATCAGGTTTCCAGTTGTCACTCCCAATGATGGCCCTACAAAAATGTACAATGTACCACCATAATAACCACAGTGTCCACCAAATGACTAGTAACTGAAATTATATTTACTCATTCAAAACTGTGGTTAAAAAAAAAACTGAAATATTCTGAAAGCTTCTTATGCTGTTTTAACACTAGTAACAATTCCTATAGATTATGGTTAATTGTTTTACATGAAATTTACATTAGTTGACCATTTGCCTAAATTAGTTGTGAAAAAAAGGCAGAACCCCACTAAACCTGGGAGAACGCCGAGGTCTACTACACAGGGACAGAAAGACGAGAAAATTAAGAATAACACTATAAAAACACCACTTACAAAGAAAGAATGCTAAATGCAGTATGTGTGACAAATAAATACCTAGAAGATTTTAGAATATTTATGACATATTATGGAATAATTATCAGTGTTAGTAACAGAATCAATATAAATGCATTTAACCACAGTGGTAGTAACTGGTGATTCAGTGATTGAACTGAAGGTTTTGGATAAACAGTATGTTCTAAATGACAGGGTTGTAAAATATAAAAAAGGCAAAATTAAGCATATTACACACACGCATACATACAGTAATTTCACAATGGCCAGATAAACATTTTCCTCAGATACAGACAATTACTGATGTCAAATTAAACTGAATCTAGTTTATTCAAGCGTTTGTTTTTACATACGACAAAGTTCCTCATTTGACAGTCATAAGATACATCTTCTCAAATTACATGATTTTCTTCTGACAATTTTGCAGTTTAAGTACATTTTACTGTTCAGTCTTCCACACTGATTCATATCCTAATGTACTGCTTTAGATTTACCTCGTCCTCTGTAATTCCCAGTCACCAAAAACCTGGAATTTTCAAATTGTAATGTGTAGGCCAGAAGAAAAAAAAATCGAAATTAATAAAACAAGTAATGAAAGTCATTCCTTCCTATAGTGAATATACATTTTTATAGTTATGCACTGCCTAAAAAAACATTTCATTGGCTAGATCATGCTCTCGGTGGAGTATTTATAAAATTAAAACATCAGTCTTGAAGTACAGTAGGTCATGGTACTCAGTATGGAACACAACGTGATCTTCCTCAAAGGGTCAAACGTTCATTCTCATGATGCTTTTTCGACTTACTGGTGACATTTGTGCACACATACGGCCTGAAAAGGTCATAGAGATGTTGGTCAAACAGCATATAGGCTTTCTGTATTTTGTGTAACATGGAAGCTTCTAATATACTTGGTAAAACAAGAAATATCCCAATATATCTAATGAAAAAGATCAAATTTCAGCTCTCTATCACAACAACAGGTTCTTTCTCGAGGTGTGCCTGCAGCGATCTGGCAACAATGACGCACTGGTCACTCGGCGGGCAGCTGTTGATCTTCCAGCCCATGCGATGCCGATTCTTCGTTGAAACTCCGGCACGTGCGCTCATGTCTCCTCATGTTTCCACTCTGGCTGAAGGTCTTTGAGCACCAGTTGCAGCGGTAAGGCCGTTCTCCGGTGTGTGTGCGCATATGCATCCGAAGGTAGTCAAACTTTGAGAAGTTTCTGCCGCACCAGTGACAGATGAAGGATCTTTCATGCAATTTCTTGTGCAGCTGCAGCTTTGCCAAGTCCTTTAACTGCCTTCCACATTTGTTACACTTATACGGCTCTTCATGATCTTTTGCGGATGCTCTCCTAGGCATGGTGAATCGTGTGCGAAGGCGCTCCTTCTTCTGTGGCCTCTTCAACAGGGTTGAAGCGTCACTGGCTGTTCTCATCTGGTGAGCGGGTTCCGAGTCTTGACATGGACCGGCGTGGGCAGGGGTGGTAGTAACTGAAGACGTTATTGTGATGATGGTGTCCTCGGGCTCAGTCTTGACCCTCGGTGTTGCCACAGTGGGTGCGTTCCTGTTCCACGTCTCATCCGTACTCAAGACATCTTTTTGATGCACTAGCTCTCTATCTTCTGCCTCTGTCTTACAGATTGAAATGACATCTAGTATGCGTGGCTTCAGTTCACTAGGTGAATCCTGACTCTGGGCATCGCCCTCCGTTTGCTGATCTTCTGGGTCTTCTGATTCAGCTGGGGACCCATATCCACATGCTGGTAATTCTGTGGGTGAGGCTTCATCAGGAGGGACATAGTGGACTCCTGTATGGTGAAAGCATGAAAACGGCATTCACTTAATTATTTTCATTATTAGTAGCAGTGTTGGTCATTTTATTCATCAAATGCATACAAATGTAAACATGACTGTTTTAAGGCTGTACAGAGTGACCTTTTTGTGCGTGCGACAAAGTATTTGTAATGGCTGAATGTTTATCTCTTAGAAACCTGTTTGACATGGACTGTTTGGTGTCATAAAGTTAAGTGCGCTATTGAGGAATTACATTTCACACTACGTGCATTACTCACAGCAGCCATTAAAGCAAGGCATTGTTCGTTTCATCAAGATAACGATCATTTCTGTGTCATCATATTTTCATTATTTGCATGAACAATAAATTGACAATTTAGGAAAAAACTTTTCTCCATTGTTCCCAAATTTTATGAACTCTTATCCATTAATTTCACTAAAATTATTACTATTATTTGAATATTTATATATTACTATTATCTGAAATTGAATGGAATTTAGTTTAGTAGACTCAAATTGAATTTTGATTATTATAGTTATAAATTCCCTTGATTAAGTCAGAGAGTGTGGAAGTCAAAGATAAGAATAAGATAAGTGTGGCCTAAAGTTTGGGATCAGTAAGATTTAAAAAAATGTTTTCTCTTATGTTCACTAAGGCTACCATTATTTGATCAAAGTACAGTAAAAACAGGGATGTTGTGAAGTATTATTACTATTTAAAATAAGGGTTCTATATTTAAAAATATACTTTATTCCTGTGATGACTCCGGTCTTCAGTGTCACATGATCTTTCGGAAATCATTCTTATACACCGATTTGGTGCTCAAGGAATATTCCTTCTTATCATCAATGGTAGGGTTGCTTAATATTTTTGTAGAAACCATGCTAAAGTTTTTTAAACATTCTTTGATGAATAAAGTTGAAAAGAACATTTATTTGAAATAGAAATCTTCTGTAACATTATAAATGTCTACTGTCACTTTTGTTCAATTATTGCAATCTTACTGAATAAAAGTATGAGAAAAAATAAAATAATTACAATTAAAGTACAGCAATATTGTTATTACGTATTACTGAAATCCTACATAGAAGTTATATTTAGGATTTCAGTAATACATAATAAAAATTTTATGAAAGCTTGACCAGTCCGCCACAATCGTTAATTGGTCGTTTTTACTCAAAGCCTTTAAATATATATTTGGATTTTATAAAGTTACGTAATGTCAATTTGAATGCAAGTGAAAATTTTGAACTTTTGTAATCCTTTAGAACCTTATATAATATGAGGTTCTAAAGGATTGCACAAGTTCTACATTTATATTTAGAACTTTTGCAATCCTATTGCAATCCTTTTGCACATTATATAAGGTTCTAAAGGATTTCAAAAGTTCTAAATTTTTTCTTGCATTCAAGTTGACATTACGTAACTTTATAAAAATCCAAATATACATAAATGCTTTGAGTAAAAACAACCAATTAACGATTGTGGCGGACTGGTCAAGCTTTCATAACACCAAACCTATCTTTCCTTTTCTTGTGGCCCTGCAACTGTAACGTTAGCCACTGTCCTCTCCATCTTTCTGAATGTAAAAGTGTTATTATCTTTAATATCCATTCAACGAGCTATGTTAAAATTCTGATATTGTAATTGCTGGATACGACGGGAAAAGACAAGACCAGTGATGCGAGGCAGACACTTAGCGGACAACATGCCATCTACGCTTCTGCGACATTCATTTCTACTATTAAATTGGAGTTTACAGAAAATGCAATCAACCTTCAACTGACCCAAATACCCCAAACAGCGTCTGTGTGTGTTAAAGTGTGAATATACCGTTTAAATGTGCCTGATTCTTGCTCAGCGCATCCCTGAGCTGTTGTTTCAGTCTCGCGTTTTCTGACCGTGTTTGGGTTGCTTCCTTTTGATAGTCCTTCACCGTCGCTTCCACCTCCACCCAAATATCACGAATGACAATTGACATTCGCTTCATCAGGTTAGATTGTAACTTATCTAGTCTCGACATTTTCACGAAGTATAAAACGAAAACAAATCCGACGAAACGCGAATAAAAGCAACTCTACACTTGCTTATTCTCCTCTTGGTTTAATGGCTGTTCGCAGACTCTAGATGCGTATCACTGCCACCTACTGTACTGTATGAACATGTACATCAAATCTACAAACTAGTTTTGAAATACCAGGCTAATGGCTAATCGCTTATTATTTTAATTATATTCTTTTTTATTTTTTTTACTGAAAATCTATGAGTGAATATTATTAATGTAATTATTCACTGTATTGTTTTGAGATATTTGTAGGTTCAGTGGCTGGCAGTGACGTCAGTTTCTAGCGGATGACTGGACATCATCATGAGGTCACGAGACACGTCCATTTACAGCGTTACCTAGCAACAACATTAAACCACCCTAGATATGGTTAGGTGACCGTGTACTATTTTGCACAGCTGACTGACATTTCTGGGTGTTTATGTCTATAAAGTTAGATTTGAGCCAATATCTTTAATGCTCATCTCACAGGCTTTGTTTTTGAATACATATTTAACGTTAGCGGAACTATGTAACAGTTACATTTTCACAGTAAGTTACCAAGAGATTATTTTGAACTCCTTTGCGCTTATTTGTGCTTTTTTCATTGATTAAAACTAGACAATACCTATGAACAAGTAACTATATTCGGAGAAATTATTTTAGTAGCTTTTCACGTTGTAGGATACTCTGGAGACTGTAATCACTCAAGTTTATTTCGGACGGTCAGTCGTTATTTGCGACACTACCCTTACAAAAAAATCCTGCAGGCATTCCTGAAGGATAAATCCTGCAGGACCTGCACACCTGCAAGGTCCTGTAGGATCCCACAGGATTTTCGTGATCATTTTCCTGTGGGACTCCTGCAGGAATCCCACAGGAATGCTACAGGAATCTCACAGAAATCCTACAGGAATCACACAGGAATGCTACAGGAATTCCACAGAAATCCTACAAGAATCCTACAGGAATCTCACAGAAATCCTACAGGAATGCTACAGGAATACCACAGAAATCCTACAAGAATCCTACAGGAATCTCACAGAAATCCTACAGGAATGCTACAGGAATACCACAGAAATCCTACAAGAATCATACAGGAATGCTACAGGAATCTCACAGAAATCCTACAAGAATCCTACAGGAATGCTACAGGAATACCACAGAAATCCTACAAGAATCCTACAGGAATCACAAGGGGCTTCTACAGGAAATATAAGAAAGAACCACATCTGAAAATGTATATATATATATATATATATATATATATACTTATTTATTTGATATTTGCATGATCCCTGCACAGAAAGCAGCATTCCTTCAGGAATTCCTGCAGGATATTTTTGTAAGGGTAGTCCGCAGTCTTAGTCAGAAACCGTAATAATAACAATCATTAACAATAGCCCCTTAAATAATAAATCTTAAATGTATGTATTTATGTAAATATTTGTATTCCCTTTACATGTTACTCTAAGAGGAGTAAATACTGCTCTCTTTTGACTTAGGTGCAAACACATTTTGGCTTGGTAATGTTTTAAAGACGGCCATAGGAAGGCGCTGTTGTGTGATATTATGTTTGGCAGCGACCAATGCAGTCCTATTCAATCTTATGAAACTGCTCTAAACTGCATATTTAATTTTTGGTGTGAGTGTTTCAAGGTTGCAAAACTTAATTAAGAATTTGGATACAATTATGTCTGAGCAGTTTACACTAAACTTTCATGAGCCTGGGATATTCCTTACTTAGTTAAACCTTTGATAAACACAGTAGTTTAAATCCTATTACAGACAGACAACCTTCATCTGTCTCAGAGGAACTGAGCTTTCCATCTATTAAATGGCTTAGCCTTTAATCATAAGATGTGTGATTGACTGTACTGCAGGGAATCACATCTTTCCATCTCAGGTATTAATTAAGTTCTGCGCACAATTGCCCTTATCCAAAACATGTCTACTGCTGTAAGCCAGTGAAAGAGTTATGACGTCTAGATGACGGTCTTTGTCCTTTTTGTATTATTACATACTCAAGCATAATGGAATCACATGCAGTATAAGAAATAGGAGTGGCAAATAATGAAGATATGTTAAAAAAAGGTTTTAAAAAATTGTATATATATATATATATATAATCACTAAATTTAATTTTACAGTTACACATCTAACCATGACAAAAGGGTCTTGGTTCATAATCCGAGATCAGTTTTATGTTAATACATCAATCAACCTCAGAGAGGTTGTTTGCATGCAACATCATAGTTACAATAGCTTTTAAAGACCTGTCCACTGTAATGAACATGCATCAGAAGGTTTAATGTGAGCTCGATGTCTGTGTATTACTCCCACCCTTACAGAGTTCTCAACTGCTATTACCATCACAGTCAAACAAGAACCTAAAGCTAGCCAAGCAGACAAAGATACAACCTCTCCCACTTAGATCAGATTTAACAATCATGTTATTTGATTAGATTGTGTAATTAAATCCAACAAGGTTAAGTGTGCACTCCATCTTGTCGTCTCCACTACTTCTGGTCTGTTTTCTTCTGGACATTTAACCTTCACCGGTCTCTCTCAGTCTGTTCAGTGCATATATATAAGAACGTATTTGGAAGTTAGGAATTGTGCATTGGCTAAATTCAGATGAAGTGTTAATTTAATCCTCATTAAGCTTATTAATTAGCAGCAGGGATTCATTTAGCAAATCTAGTGTTTTATGTGTAGGCAAAAGTTTGGTGTCAGAAAACATTTTCAAGGTTGTTTAAAGAAATCTCTTATGCTCACCACTAATTTGACCAAAAATACAGTACAGATAGTAATGCTGTGAAATACTGTTACTATTTAAGTACTTAACTTTTTTCTATTTGAATATTTTTTTAAATATAATTTATTCCTGTCATGGCCAAGCTGAATTTTCAGCAGTCATTACTCCAGTCTTCAGCGTTACAGGATTCTTCAGAAATCAGTCTGAAGTATTTCTGATTATTATCCGAAAACAGTTGTGCTGTCTAATAATTTTGAAATATTTTCAAGCATTTTAAATGCCTTTAATGTCACTTTTGATCAATTGAGTGTATCCTTGCTGAAATTTCATGCAATATAATACATATTAGACAAGATGTGAATAGAATAATAAAAAAACTCCATTGTACAAGCCTACATGTAATATGCGAATCAGACCTACGTATAAAAATAGGCAACAAATAAATAAAGTTACCCTATTACTGCTACTTCATCCATCCAACTTTCCCATTGCATTTAGGATGACTTGAGTTATTTGTCTAGTTTATCTCCCTTGAACCACCATATGTGAACGCTTAAGTAAAAACCGAAGGATCCATCTTCAAAAATAATGTTTCAGCTTTAATTGTTGCAGTCAGAAATCTTTCTCTCTGTCGTGTCTGACTTCAGAGCTTCCTTTTTTGCAGCCCCGGCCCACCCTCCCTTCTGTCTGGCAGCATTATCATTCACTTTTCAACATATTACTTGATTATGCTCACTATATTAAACAAAACATGCTTATATAATCATATGCCAAGCATGCTGGCTAAAACAACATGTCCTTATACATTTTTAGTTTCTGTGCCATTTCTTTTCTCTCTTTTCGATCGGCCCCTCCTCTTCCCGTCTGTTGCACAAAAATATCCCATTTTCACTGTCTCCATTTCAAAGCATCAACTTTAAACCAGTCTGTCTCTGCAGCTGCCATTAACCTGACTCGCTCACACTTGCTCTCGCCGTCTCCACTCCTCCAGAGTCTTTTAATAATGCATGCTGCTATAAAATTCAAATGAGATAGATTTTTTAAACACACCAGTGAAGTCTGAGTGCACGCTCTCATTTTCCCTATCCTGCTGCACCCCGGTCCCTCACTGTCCTCCTCGCCTACCAACCGTTGCCCTGGAAACTGTAACGTCCTGGAGACATGTGCGGTATTGAGGGAGCAAGGAAACAGCAGAGAGGGAAAGAGTGTGTCCTGTGAGGAACGAATAAACAATATATAAGGGCTTTTCCCACTTGAAATAGCTAACCCTGGGTCATTCTGAACCTTGGATAAACAGAATCCTGGGTTATCTTGCTTGATAATTTACACAGGGTTAACAATTAATTATTCATACACTGTTATTTCTCACTGTAAAATCCTAAAACCTGGGTTAAAGGGGTCATATGATGCGATTTCAAGTTTTCCTTTCACTTTGGAGTGTTACAAGCTGTTCTTGAATAGATAAGATCCCTGAAGTTGCAAAGACTAAAGTCTCAAAACCAAAGAGATATTCTTTATCAAAGTTAAGGATCTTTAAAAAAGCATCATATGACCCCTTTAACATTGTGTATTTGCGCTGTCAGTGTCATTGACTGGAGTCACATAAATGATACCATATTTTCCATTAAAAATTGCAAAATTTGAGTAAAATATTGAGTAGTTTGCATCACTGGATATTATTATAAACAGCTGTCAAATATTGTGTTTTGCTACTTTCATCTAACCTTGCTCTCATTCAATGTTAAAACTGAAGTTTCACACTGGGATTCTAGTTCTGTGAACAATAAACCTTGCCTACTTTAATTTGATTGGCCATCTCAATCATTTTGACACTGGCAAGCGCTCATAGACAGCTGAGGCACACACCAGCCTAAAAATGTAACTTGTAAAGTTAAAATAGACCTTTATGCATAATTACGTGCAGCAGAACAGTGGAAGAATTTAAAATGTTGGGGGAGACAGTTTGGCCATTTTTAATTTTGGCCATTTCTTGCTCCCATCAATGTCTATGGTGGTTACGGCCCTGGTCGTAAAATTCTAACAGCAGTGTTTCACTCTGATTAAGTTGACACTACAATGTGGGTCAACACCACAAAAGCAGTGCTAAGCCTGCCCTGGAGCAGGGTTTCATAAACCCAGTTAAAAAGCAGTGCTCACCCGCTTCTAAATTACAAGTGTGAACTCTACCTTTACCCAGGTTAAAAGTGGGATTAGAACGACAATAACCCAGGGTTAAAAGTGTGAAAAGCCCTTAACTGAGACCTAACGGCTGGCACACGGAGCCTCAAGTGTGTTTATAATGACAGAGAATGAACACACAGGAGTGGCATAATGAGAGACAGTTTATTCACTGGACTCAACGATGCATAATCAGTGTTGGTACAGAGCAGAAGAAGGATCAATACCGCAAGATCTATCAAACGCTTCGGTTTAGATACAGTGTACATCACATATTGTTGTTCCAAAGCAATTAATTAAGGCATGCACAGGCAGATCTGCATGAAATCAGGATTATATTAGCAACAAGAGTTATCATAATGCCTCCCAAATCATTTCATGTCACAGAGGAAAAATCTTGACTAGCACAGGTGCTTTCACCAAAATGCAGTTGAATTTGTAAGGGAATGTTTAACACAAAAACATTATTTTTCTTCACATCAATAAATAGATACTTTGAGCAGCAGGTAGAACTTGTAGCCCAGAGAATTGACTCAGCTGGTGTCTCTGAAACATTTCTTTATAGAATTGCACTGTGCAGCATAGGCGATCTGTAATTGGTGTGTAAACATGCTTGTAAGGTCAAAGTTTTAGCAAAGCACAAACGGCATACAAAACAAATGGCCGCGGACTTGCTGTACGCTGAGAGGGCCGATTTCAAAATGCATACCAATAAAAATTTGTGAAAGCACTGCAGTGTTAACAGTCAAGATTTGCATTACGAACACTGTTCATGTCCATCGAAGAGATTCAGATTACCAGACACGAATGGAAGCAGTACAAATATGTACAGACACATATATACATAAATATGTATATACAAGCATGAATACGTAAGCAGGTTAAATATAAATATAGCTGAGCAGAACAATTCAAGAGAACAAAAGTCAAGCTGGCATTCACTGACTGCACACGGTTGGATCAAATGTGCATGCTACGCTCATTCATATTTGAGTGGTGGGGATGTAGAGCAGTCGCAAACTGAAATGTATCAAAAAGAGGATTGTAGCCCCATCCGTCATGCAAGCCAAACCCAAAGTCACCCTCTCGTCACCCAACCTGAGTCAGCATGCTTATCGACATTCATACTGTTTGTGGTACGGAATATGTTGCGCTAGATACAGAACATTTACAAAGAGCAACACATGTGTAATTTTATCTATAAAAGAACTCCATATGTAGGGATGCACAATAAGATCCTGATATTTTAAATGTACAGTTTGGTAGTATTTAAATTTATGTTTTATCAATATAAATCTGGATATTTGGCCATTTAATTGTGCATGTTAATTTCCTATATTTTTACATATTAATTTATCAATTTATTGGTCAGTCAGTATTAGATTTTTTTGACTGATATTTCTGTATTTTTACATAAATGTATCGGCTGGTTGGAATAAAAAATAGCGGTCAGTCAATATTAAATTTTTTTTTAATTGATATTGGATAATTGTGCGTGCTCATTTCCTCTGTTTTTACATACATTTAATGATCAGTCTGTAGCATTTAAGTTTATCTGTCTGGCAATATTGGATAATGTTTGGTTGATTTTTTATTTATTTATCAGTTGTCATATTTAAATGCATCAGTAATTTTTTATTTTATTTTAGGCTTATATATTGGATTTGTAAATGTGCATCCCTACATATATGCCTTCTTAAAAATGCATATATGCTCTCATTTCCTGTTTCAGTCACAAACATGCCCCCCTAAGCTGGAGTCTTGGCAGAGTCTGAATTTTGGCACATCGGTGTGGCCTGACCAGGAAGGATTCAGGTATCATTCTGTTGAGCAACACAAATCATTCCACTAAACAAAGTTTGTAGCTGTGTAAAATGATTCGTCATGGTCGAAACATCCTAGTGTTCCTGCTGAATGTATCAGATTCTACTGTAAACATTACGGTATAAAAACATGACTGTTTGTATCATAATTTTGCCTCATACTGCTAAAACACAATACTAAATTAATGGTCTGCTTTCTGTTTGCCTTGAAGGATCTGGTCGAGCATAGCTGTGAGGAAGAGGGGAGGGCATGTTGGCGAGCGTTACGATATTGGCTTCCTCACACTCACACACACACACACGCAAGCAGCCAATCAGAGGCGGCTCAGATCCCTCTCGACACTACTGCATTCCCTACATCTCGCCATCTCTGGGGTATCTTTTCATCTGAAGCTACTGCCCCCCTCCTCTCCTCCCTCCTCTCCTTCTCTCTCCATCCCTCCATCTGTGTGAAACAAAAGACTGCGGCTAGGTCTCGATCCCTCCCACTTTCTCCTCACCTCTCCCTCCTTCTCTATCTGTAGGATTCTCTGATACATCATCTCTTGCTTATGTGTGATAACCTCATCCTAATATCTGTACATTGTGAGAGAGAGAAAGAGAGAGAGAGGCTCCTGTGCTGTTTTTCCACATCGTTTCAATCCTTTGAGACAAAATCATCATGTCTAATCAAAAATGAAGAGCCCATGTTTAAACGCTGGGTGCAGCTCATCCTTTCATCAAAGGAAAAAAGAAAGCCTAGATGAAAGTGTGTCTAGAGCAGCTCTTAAAGTAATTGGACTCATCTGTGGATGGATGCCAACTCGGAAGCCATCTGCTGTTTTATATAATCGATTACATTTTAATCTGAGCTTGTCTTTATAGATTCACACTTCTGAACAGGGATACTAAAATCAGCTTGTGCATAAAAAATACTTCTAATCTTTGTCGAGAACCAAATCCCCTCCAACTCCCTCTCATTCTTTTCCTCCCTCACATCCTCAAGGGGTGCATGACAAATGAAATAAGATCATATGTGTGGTCTCCTTACTGATATCATCTCAAACGATGAGTCCTTTGTTGAAAAAAAACAAAAAAAACAAACATGCATGCCTTGCTCGTGATTCCAGGCATTCGAAGAGCTGAAGAGTCCATGTTGTTTTTGATAGTTCTGGCACGATAGAAGATAAATGTAACATCCAGCTTCAGAGTCTTCAGATAGAGTACAAAACAACTGAAAAAGCATTCAGGAGCATTCAGATGTAGAGAGATGAAGAAGAAAATGGTCATCATGGATTGGTTGTTGTCTTGAGTGTCGCGACGGCCATCAGGTCTTAAGTATTACTGAAAGAGAAGAAGAGGTGTTGAAAGAATGAAGCAAAGTGAATTTCAAACAAAACACCTACTTCAAAAATGATACACATATAAACATTTCAATATATAAAAAAAAGTTGCACAATTTCTTTGCACAAAAGCTTTTTTGTCTACAACAGACACAAGAAGAGACACAACAAACAATATTGCTTTACAAAGCCAGCTTGTGATGTTTCTGTTCTTTAGCATTGTGTATTTTTTCAAACCATTCAAACGTTTGGGGCCAGTAGGATTTTGTTTTTGTAACAAATTAATGCTTTTATTCAGAAAGGATTAATTACATTGATCAAAAGTGACAGTAAATACATTTAGAGTGTTACAAAAAGATTTCTATTCAAATAAATGCTGTCCTGTTGAACTTTCTGTTCATTACAAAATCTTGAAAAGACACGGTTTCCACAATAATATTAATCAGCTCAACTGTTTTCAGTTACATTGATAATAGTAAGAAATGTTTCTTGAGCAGCAAATCAGCATATTAGAATGATTCCTGAAGGATCATGCAGTAATAATGCTGAAAATTCAGCTTGCCATGTTAAAATATATCAAACTAGAAAACAGTTATTTTCAATTGTAATAATATTTTACATTACTACTATTTTTCACTATATTTTTGATAAAATAAATGCAGCCTTGTATAAGAACATAAGAGACTTCTTTCAGAAACATTAAAAAATTTTACCGACCCAAACTTTTAAATGGTGCATGTCACATTCCAGATCCTGAACTGACAAAAAATTTAATCTTAATCTAACCTTTAAAATACAATATGTGATCCTGGACCACAAAACCAGTCATAAGTAGCACAGGTATATTTGTAGCAATAGCCAAAAATACATTGTATGGGTCAAAAGTATTGATTTTTCATATATGCTAAAAATCATTAGGATATTAAGTAAAGATCATGTTCCATGAAGATATTTTGTAAATGTCCTACTGTAAATATATTAAAACTTAATTTTTGATTAGTAATATGCATTGCTAATAACTTCATTTGGACAACTTTAAAGGCGATTTTCTCAATATTTAGATTTTTTTGCACCCTCAGATTCCAGATTTTCAAATAGTTGTATCTCTCCAAATATTGTCCTATCCTAACAAACCATACATCAATGGAAAGCTTATTTATTCAGCTTTCAGATGATGTATAAATCTCAATTTCGAAAAATTTACTCTTATGACTGGTGAAAATCACTGCTTATACAAACTATAAAACAACAAACTTAGATCCATTAGATACAGGCCAAAGATCAATCTCACCTGTAATCAGATCTCATTCTCATCCTGACCGTGAGCTAAAGTTTCAGCTTGACATTGATCCAAATCACAAAGTCAGCTCTAAGCTTGTATTCAGTTTCACATGCTCTGGCCTCATGGAAAAGATACTCACCACCCCAGTTGATGACGATAGTAATAATAATGATGAAAATCCCACCCACCAATGACACGATGGACAGGATTTTTGCATTCTGGCCCAGACGACGCGCACCATCCACATTGCCCTGCTGCAGACTGTTTCGAGACTGAGAGTAAGAAGAGAAGTTGAATGAAAAGGAGGAAAACAAATAATTCCATTATCACCACAAGGAATTATGCCAAATACAGTTTCTTGGCTAGTAAGAAATGTTTTCAACTGAACCTCCAAAGGCAAAGAAGTTACTTTCGTACACTGCGTAGCATAATTCTTGCATACACAAGTGAAATCGCAGTCCCTCCTTACTCGACAGAAACTGTATCCAGCAATCCCACCCCCTGAACACACAAGCACACACCATGACTGAGAAGGTCAAGCCGACAATGTTAATGGGCCAGACAGGGCAGAGGCAGGCCAGAATCGCCCATATGAGATAATCGTTGGGTTTGGGTCCATCTCCAACATCAGTGGCTGCGCTGGGCTGTCGGGTGAGTGACGGTCGAGGTGACCCGGCGTGACTCACTGACCCGGAGCGGCTGCTCAGCCTGGCTCGCCCATTTGCGTGCGCATGGTTGGGCTTGGCGTGCTGCTGACGAGGAGGAGAAGCAGCGCTCGGAGACCTTTCGATAGGACCAGGGCAAACACCATTACCTGTAGTCATGCGAAAGAGAGAAACACACCTATAAGCCTGCATTTCAGAGTGTCTGTTTTTAAAAGAAGCAATTCTTTTGTGTTTCTAAACTAAAGGCACCGCACCAATATCTCCTGCTCAGTTTTTACTGGCAGAGGGGAACTACATCTGACTCATCTACTTGTTGAGAAAAACAGACAAGAAAAGAGAGTGGGGGATGGTACAAAAGCTGAGAAGAAAAGGGAGTGAAAGCAGAGCGAGGTTGTAAATCATTTTATATCAGTCTGGCTCCTGGTCTAAGATTAACACTAAAAGAATCTGAGAAAAAAATGAATGCTGAGAGATCATTTTTCTCAAAAGGACAGAAGGAGCAGCTTGTAAATCACTGTGGGACTAAGGTGATTATTAAAGACACCATGCCTTGACAAGTGCTGTTTTCTTTCCTTTGTTAATGCACTGTCATTCAAAAGTTAGTATGATTTATTAAAAAGAAATGTAATACTTTTGTTCAGTAAGGATGCACTGAATTATTAAAAGTTGACAGTAAACAGATCGTTTATAAAATTAACAAAAACTGGTTATGCTGCAGTTCTTTAGAACTTTCTATGCATCAGTGAAATTTTGGGGGGGGAAATGTATCATGGTTTCCACAAAAGTATTAACTGTGTTCAACATTGATAATGATAAGCAATATTTCTTAAGCAAATCAGCATATTAGACTGATTTCTGAAGGATCATGTGACACTGGAGACTGAAGTAATGATGCTGAAATCACAGAAATAAATGACATTTTCAGATATATTAAAACAGTTATTAACAGTTATTAAATTGTAGTAATATATCACAATAATAATGTTTTACTGTATTTTTGATCAAATAAATGCAGCACTGTTAGACTTAAGAGACTTCTTTCAAAAACATAAAAAATCTTACCCCCATATTTTGAACGGTACTGTAAGTTTCCTATTGAAACAGGAAGTGGGGGGTGTCGTATCAAAGGGCTACTAGATTTGCTACTTAATATTGCTAGTCAGAGGCAAGTGATATTAGGGGAAGTGCTGACTAAAATATATATATGCCTGTGAGTGCAAGATAATGTCATGAGTCTAATAAATTTGAATCTACTAAATGTTAATTTTGTAAGCTTTTAGGTGTACACTAGCATACAGATGACCTCGAAGCTAGCAGACATGGACTTAACGCCACAAAACTCTAATTTTGATGCCATGGGGTCTGATGACAGGTAATGACAGGTGATATGAGCAGATCCTGATCTACTACCTGAAATGTAAAATTAAAATTAATTCATATTGAAAAATATTCTATAAACTATTTAATAAACAAACGATGCAAAATGCATGACTAAAATTATTTTAAAATAGTTATTTACTTGTTTCCATATTCTCGTCGATGACTGTCAGGTGATCTCTGGGTGGGGCATCCTGAGAGGGGGCGGGGTCTCCAGCGGGGCTAGGTGTTGTGGTGGGGGGTGGATCTTGTTGCTCGGTCTTGACTGGCTGTGAGGTGTTGGCGGTGAGGTCCGACTTTGTATCAGGTTGCTGACTGGTCTCTTGCTCTGATTGTTGCCGTTGCTGTTCTTCCTCCACTGCACCAGGGGCAGCAGTGGGAATGCTGGCCTCAGCGTTCACATCCATTCCCAAGATGTTTATGACAACTGATGTGTGGCAAAATCAAGCTTATATGTCTGTATAAATTTAGGGTTTCTGATTCGTTGAGAACTGTTGGGTAAAAAACAATAAAAATATTTAAGACATTATATAAATTGTACAATGCCTATTAACATGCGTTTATATTATGAAGCCAATAATTTACACTATCATTCAGTCTTGTGTGTAAATACTATCATTCAGTCTTGTGTGTAAATA